TTTAATGAGTAATGATATGCATGAACAGTACTCAAAGTTGCAAATCACAAATCTGTAGCTAGAGTGGGATTTTTAATAACTGATTAAAAGTTTTAAGTTCTCTTTATTCCCATCTAACCTATTTCTCATCCTCTCTAAGTAATACAAATTCAAAAAAGTTATTTAAAATCCAGTTAAACAGTTCTTACTTGGAAGAATAAGGATTTTAAGGGAAAAAAATTAAGCTACATCAAACTTCCCCATGAACTTGCTCAAAAAGCAGCTCATATCATTGGTGTCTAGTTTTAAAATAAACTTTTCTTCTTTAAAGTATTATAAATAAGTCTTCTTCACAGTAATGAGCATAAATAGACCCTAGTTATTCATAGATTATTCATTAATAATCAAGCCATGAATATTTATTGTTTATTCTGGGAAGGCTGCCTACAAGCCATAATGACTATCAATTCAGCAGTCAAGTCAAGGGGGCCAACAGCAATCAGCAGGCAAAACTCCAACATGCTCCTGCTCAAAGAGATTCTCTCTCCCTGTGACTTAAAACTTTTTATTTTCTCAACAGGAACAGTGACTATGCTTAAAGGTATGCTATCAAGATTTATGGTTTCACTGGCTCAAATACTGAAGTAGAATATGGAGAATTGAAAATTATGTATGCACGTCTGTGATTATTCAAACATCCCCACAGCAACTAACCTGGGTAAACTGAAAATAGAAGAGAAACTGCTGGTGAGAAAGTAGATTAGAGTTTTGCAAAAGCAGATCCTTATTCGTTACCAGTCTAAAATTTAAAATTATCATTGCTAAGTTCTTTCCTCATGTACCAGAATAAGTCATAGAGTTTTTAAACACTGATTTAGAGGCCAGTGCTGAGTATTAGCACATTAAGCCACTGCCTGAAAAGCCAGCATCTCATATGGTTGCCAGTTCGTGTCTTGGTTGCTCTACTTCTGATCCAGCTCCCTGATAATGGCCTTGGAAAAGCACCAGAAGATGGCCCAAGTGTTTGGGCCTGTGCACCTACATGGGAGACTTGGAGGAAGCTCCTGGCTCCTGTCTTTGGTCTGACCCAGTGGTTGCTGTTGCAGCCACTTGGGGAGTGAACCAGAGGATGGAAGATCTCTTTCTGTTCTCTCCCTCTTTCTCTGTAACTCTGACTTTCAAATAAAAAACAATTTTATAGAAAGCTTTTATTTAATAAATATAAATTTCATAAGCACAACTTTTGGATTAGAGCAGTTCTTCCCCCCACACTCATCCTATCATCCCCAAACCATCCCACCTCCTACTCCCTCTCCCATCCCATTCTTCACTAAGATTCACTTTTAATTATCTTTATATACAGAAGATCAACTCTATACTAAGTAATGATTTCAACAGTTTGCACCTACACAGACACACAAAGTATAAAGTACTGTTTGGAGACTAGTTTTTACCATTAATTCTCATAGTATAACATAGTATAACACAATTGACACTCTTATTTATGATGTCAGTGATCAGCCATGGCTCTTGCCATGAGCTGCCAAGGCTATGGAAGCCTTTTGAGTCCACAAACTCTGACATTATTTAGACAAGGCCATAATCAAAGTAGAAGTTCTTTTCTCCCTTTCTGAGAAAGTTACCTCCTTCTTTGATGGCCCCTTCTTTCCACCAGATCTCACTCACAGAGATCTTTCACGTAGGCCATTTTTTGCCACAATGTCTTGGCTTTCTATGCCTGAAAAACTCTCATGGGCTTTTTAGCCAGATCCGAATGCCTTAAGGGTTGATTCTGAGGTCGGAGTGCTGTTTAGGGCATTTGTCATTCTATGAGTCTGCTATGTGGCCTGCTTCCCATGTTGGATCATTGTCTCTTTTTTAATTCTACTACTATTGGCAGACACTTGGTCTTTCAAATAAAAAATCTTTTAAAATACTCATCATTACCATAGTCGTTTGAAGGACTAAGAAGAAATTAGATTTCCGCTGTTTATTTCCAATGTTTTCTTCAATGTATAAAAGTATTGCTATTCAGTTATTTTATTTATAAAAATACATAAAAGATAGGACTGGTATTGTGGCATAGTGGCTAAACCAGCCACCTGTGACAATGGCATCCCATATCAGCACTGGTTCATGTCCTGGATGCTCTACTTCTGATCCAGCTCCCTGCTAATGGCCTGGGAAGAGCAGTAGAAGATGGCCTTTTGGGCCCCTTCCACCCATGTGGGAGACCTGGATAAGGCTCCTGGCTCCTGACTTTGATTTGGCCCCAGCCCTGGCCATTTTGGCCACTTGGGAAATGAAACAGTGAATAGAAGATCTCTCTCTCTCTCTCTCTCTCATACACACACACACACACATACTCTCTTTCTCCCTCTCCCTCTTAACGCTGACTTTCAAATAAATGTCTTAAAATATATAAAAATATATAAAAAGGATATGTTAATATATACCCTTATATCATTATCTTCTCTCTATATAGCTGAAAGTAGGAACTTTATTATTTGAAGTTGTCAACAACACTCACTATGATTTCTTGCATACAAAAGGTGAAAACAATGCATTCCTAATAGTGGAAAACATTAGGGAAATAGCTATGAGGGTAACTAAAACATCCTAAAGGTCCTTGCAATGTAAAATAATGCTTATCGACACCACTCATTCAATCTGCTCTCAAATTCAGTTAGCTTTGTTCCTGATTGATAGTATATGCTCTAAATAGTGATCATTAGCTTCTGTTCTTGATCCTATCAGCAGAGAATAAAATTTGCAGATGAAATGGGTATGTCTGGGGCAAGGAGCAATAGGGAGGACTAAGTTGTGGTTGGGGCTCAGAAAACAATACCCAGGTGCCAGCTTGGTGTGCAGCAAGTTAAACCACCACTTGAGGTATCAGCATCCCATGTCAAAGTGCCAGTTCGAGTCCCAGATACTCCGCTTCCAATCAAACTCCCTGCAATTGCTCCTGGAAAAGCCGTAGAGGATAGCCAAGTCCTTGGATTCCTGCCACCCACATAGAAGAACCAGATGTAGTTTCAGGCTCCCAGCATCAGCCTGACCCAGTCCTGGCTGTTGCAGCCATTAGGGGAATGAACCAGCAGATGGAAGATGTCTTTCTCTTTTGTCTCTCCTCCTCTCTGTTACTCTTTCAAATAAACAAAATAATATGTTGAAAAAAAAATAAACAAGGCCCCACATAAGGCACTTTGGCATGCTGAGGACACTGAACTAGATGGTGGAAGCAGAAGCAGAACCAATGTCTCTCAGACAATCTTCTGCCTTCCTGGCTCTTGGCCCTCATTCTTCTCTGAAGTGAGCTACAGAAGCCAGAATTCTGCTTCTCCAAGTCAGGTAAGGGGTACTAGAACCCCTTTACCTCCAAACAAGTCATACAGCATTTACTCTAACTTTCCTTTATCTATCTGTCTAGGAGCTGCCCAAAAAGAAGTTCCTTGACCAACCCTTGTCCAAAAGGACATCATAAGATCTTCCTAAGACTTTCATTCCAGAAGTGTCTTGAACCATACCCAGGAGCAAAATATGCTACTACAGAGACAAGAGTCTCAACAAGGAGGTCTTGTTTTCCCACTTTGCCTATTACTAATAGAGCACACTCTTTTTTATCCAATTGCATTTCTGAACTGCTGTCCCTGCTTCACTGAACTACAGTATAAACTCCAACAGTTTTCCAGTATCTTTGAACCTTCGTTCTTAGGTCTGCTGTGTCATATAAAACTGTGATTAAATAAATTTCTTACACTCATCTCTTGTTAATTTGTCTTTAATTATAGGGGTATCAGCCATGACCTTTATGATGGGAAGAAAGGAATCATGCCCTTTGTGCTCCTACACTGTGTTCCACTGGACAGCTGTCAAATGTCTAGCAGTGAACCCCTTCCCCTGACTCAATTTCTGGCAGAAAAAAAACTCAGTGCATATACAATTTCAACATGTGCTGTGGGCCATTAATGCTTGTTTATTTTTTACCTTGACGCATAAACTACCAGTGTTGGCATTCTGAATACACTGTTACTGTTTCAAACATGACTTCATCCAAATCTAATACCAAATATCAAACACTTACTTCTGGAATTGCATATTTTTATAACAAGGGAACAAGGCTCCATATACACATCTCTAATTCATAAACTACTTTCAAAAATATATCCACTGCGGATATGTATAAAGGTAGCCAGCATTTATTTTTGGTCTTTAAAAGCAAGAAAATCAAAAAGAATAGGTAATTTCACCAAAGTTTCTACTCCTTCATTATTTAACTTCGTGGAAATAATGGGATTATATGTAACATATAATGAAAACAATCATCATCAAAGTTAAGATAAAACACCTGTTTGTATCATAAGAAAAAATTACTTTGGCATTACTAAATAAACATGCACTTGTGCAAGCTTTCAAATGTTTAACAGGTGACATTTAATAGCAAGAAAACTAAATGCTGAAATAGAAAGGAGCAGAAACACCTGGGCAGGTCTGCAAGTGTGGTCGTCTATTTAGCTTGCAATTGCATTTTCAACATAATTAGTTTAAATGAGCTTCTAAATCCGGGTGATGTATTGCACATGTAATTAAGATTTAATTAAAAATGTTCTATAATAAATTGTTTTCCATTTATGACAAATCACATTAAAGAGGTAGATTTTGATTTGGAAATAGTTTTCAAAATGTGTTAATCATCTGTGCTGAAAGTATGAGAAAATATGAGAAAGAAAAAAAGGAGCACTGTTGAAAGTCACTTGGGATTTTAAAAATATAAAATAAAGGTATAGTTCACTTCCATATTAATAGGAACTTTAGCTGAAGAGAATAGTAAAACTCAAATATTTTTATAAGCAGCAGCATTCTGAACATATGATGATATAATATACTAAATGTATCTCTTTTATATTTCTGTGAGATTCATGATACGTAATTTCGAACTTTTATTATAAAAACTACTGAAGAGTAAGTACAGCATGCTGATAAAAAAAAAAAAAACCTCAACAAGGCTTTGCACTAACCTGCTAAATCCTGCAACAGAAATGAAGCCTCTATTGCCAGTCCAAGATAAATTAAGCCACTGGACGAGAGTGCAACGAGCCTGTAGAAATTCTAAAGAGGTGTCATTTACTTTTGCCCAGTATGGTTGCAGATTGAGGTGGATGTACTGCAGAGGATCACAGCAATGCTGGTTCAGTAGTTTGCAAGTTTGTGCTAATCTACACAGGTCTGGTAGGGTAAGATGATTCAGAATCAGTTGAATGAGCTACATAAAACAGAGAAACCAAGATCATTAAAAGTGAAAACCAGTATCACTTTATTAAGCATGTGGCCTAGTAAAGAACAATAGTGTTACATATTTTATAACAGTATTTTCATATAGCAAATAAACCAACAGAATTATCCAAATTGGGGAGAAAACCTATTTGAGGCTACATTATATTTCAAAACTGTTCAAAAGTATACTCAGCTCATGTTGACTACTCACTTTCTTAGGATACATTGGTATACTTTGATAATCTGTTAATAAAACCATTTTTCATAGACTCAACACTTACTGAATACCTATTACCTGCCAAACTCTAGAAACAGTTCCTCCTCACAGAGTGCTTACAGTGCAGTGGGGATAATCAATAAGTACAGAGATATATTTTAAAAGCCTGAACAGAAGCAGCATAGGATGACACTAGAGTCTAACACAACATACAAGTCTAACTCCAAGGCCAAAATGTGCTCATGCCAGGAAGACATCTTTAAAAGATAAAGGGTAAAGTAAGTGAACAGAGTCTAATGGTGAGGACTGGGTAACAAAGACCCTCACAAGGAATTTGGATTCATCCTGAAAGCAATGAGGAATATCAAAGGGATTTAAACTGCCCAGAGACATGGTCTGGATTTGTGTTTTAGGAAGATCACTGCAGGTGGTGCTACTGAAGGGGGCAAGAATGGAAACTAGACAGGGGTTAGTGCAGAATTCCAGAAGAGAGAAGGGGCCTGCTTAAGGCAGCTGGCCGTGATGACAGAGTAGTTAACAGATTCAAAAATTAAGAAGGTGACATCAAAAAGATGCTTACCTCTATTTAAAGCTGTCTCCCTAGTCCACTTTTTCTTCCTTCTTTTTAAACATTTATTTATTTATTTATTTATTTATTTATTTATTTATTTAAGAGTCATGGTTATACAGAGGGAGAGACAGAAAAAGATCTTTCATCCACTGGTTCACTCCCTTAACAGCCAAAGCCGGGAGCCAGGGGCATCATCCAGGTCTCCCCTGTGTATGCAGGGGCCCAACCACTTGGGCCATCTTCAGCTGCTTTCCCAGGTGCATTAGCAGGAAGCTGGATTAAACTTGCAGCAGTTAGGACTCTAATCTGTGCCAATATGAGATGCTGGCATTGCAGGGGGCGGCTTGATTCTTTATGCCACAATGCTGGCTCCTTATTTTTCTTACTGGTAAACATTGTGAGGCTGGCATTGCACCTCTTCTGATCCAGCTCCCTGTGAATGGACCTTGAAAGAAGAAGAACATGTCCCAAGTATTTGGGCCCCCCGGGCACACATGTGGGAGACCTAGAGGGAGTTCCTTGCTCCTGGCTTTGGCCTGGCCCAGATCTGGTTGTTGCAGCCATTTGGGGAGGGAGCAAACCAGCAAATGGAAGACATCTCTCTTGACTCTCCCTCTCTCTGTCACTCTGCCTTTCAAATAAATAAATCTTTAAAAAAAACTAACATCAGGTATGTGTTTTGAAAACAAGGAAATTAAAAGTCTCAAATCTGACAAAGGTTTTCTGCTTGACCAAAACAGTCAACCTGAACTTTCTTCGTCTAGGCTCATCTATGCATCTTCTTGTAAAAGTCAGTTTAGCAAATCCTCTACAAACCCTCCAGTGGGGGCCACCCATGTGATGTCCAATCATGTAAGTAAGAATCCTGTTGGTTAGATTTCACCAGAATCTTACTTACTCTCGATGCTTCCTTTCAGTAATTTTCCACCCACTTAACCTCAGTGTTCTCCTTGGCTACAAATTTCTACTTGCCCACACTATGTTCAGAGTCAAGCCCAATATCTCTCCCCTACTGCAAAATCTCATTGCAGGGGCCGACGCTGTGGCACAGCAGGTTAAAGACCTGGCCTGATGCGCCAGCATCCCATATGAGCGCCGGTTCTAGTCCTGGTTATTCCTCTTCCAATCCAGCTCTCTGCTATGGCCTGGGAGAACAGCGGAAGATGGCCCAAATCCTTGGGCCCCTGTACCCACGTGGGAGACCCAGAGGAAGCTCCTGGCTCGTGCCTTTGGATCGGCGCAGTTCCTGCCGTTGCAGCCATCTGGGGAGTGAGCCAGCAGATGGAAGACCTCTCTCTCTCTGTCTCTACCTACCTCTGTAACTCTGTATTTCAAATACATAAAATGAATCTTTAAAAAAAATCTCATTGCAGCAGTCCTGATACATACTGCAATTTAATAATTTTTAAAACAAGTTCCATCATCCAGACAAATCTGTTGGCATATAAAATATACAAACAAAAAAAATTAGATAAAAATTTAGAAAACCCAAACACTAAATAAAGGTAGAAAAAAGAGAATTTTCTTACTCTCTACCCTCAATTCTAATAATCCTTCTCCATGGAGATAAGCACTCTTAACAGGTTTTCTTACCTCTACTAAATAAATGTTTATGAAATACTTTTCTTTTAATATTCTTAAAATATTACTACTATATACACTATTCAGCAACTTGCTGTTCTTACTGATAGTATACTGTAGGTCTCTCTATATCTGTTAATATAAATCCATCTCATTGCATTTCAAAGACATAGCATAATAATCCAACTAGTTTCCCACTGATGTATCTCCATTTTATTTCCTACTAGAAATAATACCGCAGTATCATGTGGATGTAATATATATGTACGTTCATTCTGGCAAACTTTGCAAATATATCCTTGGAGTTAATTATATGCATTTAAAAGTTTTGATATAGTGCTGAATTGCCCTGAAGAATATTCATGTCAAATTATATATCCATAGTGTATAAAAGCACCAATTCACCTGTATCCTAATCAGAACTGGCATCAAAGTTTTAAATTTTGTCATTCAGAAGGGGAAAAAATTAAAAAGAAAAAAGTATGGGACTGCTTTTATTTGCAGTTCTCTATGTCTTTTAATTACAGAAATTTAACCCTTTGCTAATAAAGCTGCCAATGTTTTCTTCCCATTTGCTCTGCTCCTGAATTCTTTTTGTTACATCTTACCATAATTTCTCTGATATTAATAGCCCGCTAGGTAAAATAAGTTTTTTAAAAATTTTTAAGGTATATGTGTTGGAATGCACTGGTTTGGTTACAAATGAGAATAAAGCTAAATGCCCACCCATCACTCTTCCAAAATTTTCCTGGTATTTTCATTTCTTCTTAAGGTGAACTTTTCAGTAAAAAAATTCTGGTTGCATTTTAATTGGGACTTCATTGAATGCATGGGTACCAGAAAGTTTTCATGGAAAACTGGAATTAAATAATGCTTATTCTGGTTCAAAAATATTTTAAATCTATGCATAGATTTTTTTTCATAACACATTTTCCATGAACTTTTTGAAGTTAATAGATTGGGGAAAACTGACACTATATTCTGTGCTCCTTCTCAAAGGTATGGTAGGATTTATCATTTAATGATCTTTTACGTTTCTAAAACTATGATTTTGTCTATTAACTTTGTAACCTGCCAATTTACTTATTGTTTTTGGTTTATGTTCCTAAGAATTCTCAGCTATAATGATATTGTCTGCAAATGATAACTTTTACAGCCTCCTATCCAAAAATTATGCATTCTCCTTCTTTCTTGTGTTTACTAGCATTGGTTTACACATCCAGAACAATTCAAAATAACATTGTTGTCTTATTCTTGCTTTTAATTCCAATGTGTCCCATAAACAGGAGAAAACATATATATGTAATTTCAAAATTTTTAGTAACTACATTTCTAAAAGCAAAAAGAAACAGATGGAGTTAGTTTTTAGCATATGCAATTAAAAGTGATCATTTCAACATGTAATCAGTATAAAATTACTGAGATATTTTACATTTTTTGAAATGTCTTTGAAATCTTGTGTATATTTTGCTTTTTCAGCATATCTCAGTTCAGACTAGCCATGTTTCAGGTGCTTAACAATATATATGACTTGTGATTATCATATCCAACAATGTACTCCTAGTGTTTGATAATTAAATATGATAACTTGGCTATTATATCTGAAAACAGCCAATTAGTAGATAGATTAATAAAGTATTTCCTTTTTAAAAGAAATGAATACAATTTGATATCTATATAGCTATCACTTGTTAAGCAGTTTTGCCACCTGCTGAGATGATCACAGGATTTTCTTCTTGTTGGCCTGTACCGTTATTATTGTGTACATTCTCTGATATGCAAACACCCTTGAATTCCAGAAATGCTGAATGATTTCTTATAATACCCTTTTAAAATCATCCAATATGCTATATTTAAATTGTTTACATATATAAAACTGTTCTGTAGTTTTTGGCATACTATCTTAATCAGCATAACACTAGTTTCACAAGAAATTAAAAACTTTTTTATTCTATGAAAGTTTAGATACTACTATGTTTTTTTTTCTTAAATCTTAGCAAGAATCCATGAATCATCTGAACTTGGCAATAGTTGGGGCACTTCTCCAACTATTTTCAGAATTAAAATTTTGTTTAATATTCAGTTATTTCAGTATAATTTCTAAGCAGTTAGTACAAAGAGATACCCTGATCTATCTATCCTCAAAATTAATTCTATTCAATACAATTATTTAAACTATGAGAACACGGTATCATTGGACATATTTAAATATGGTTTAATTTCCCCTTGAAATAATGTGTTACTTTCAAAATAACACTTTTTAAGTATTTCTCTTTTTACTCACTGTGAGATCATTCAATGTTTCACAGTATTACTCCTTACATGGTACACTTCTTTCACCAAGGCCAACGAACGTCCCTCCAGAACTGATCCCAACTCCTGGTTTCTTCTACAGGACTTTGTTGTACTGACTAAACTGCTTGCATGTACTTGAAGGTTTTTGTCTCGACAGGTTTCTCCCCTTCAGCATATAAACATGCTGAAATCTCTCCCAACCTTCATCACAAACAGAAACTTTTCCACTCTGTGGCATCCTCTAGCACTACCCTTATCTTTTTATCCTTTAGAAGGTAAGTTATAAGACATCATACCTGTAATAATTTTATACTCTACCTTGAATGGATAAAAGAGTAAGTTGATTTTTTTTAACTTTTGCGGTGAAATGGGATTAAAAGATAACTTTATTATTTCAGCCATACTGAAATACTAGAGGCAGACACGGTTTCATTTACTTTTGCCTCTGTACACTCTCCTTCCTTTGCCTAGATTCCCCTCAGTTATTCACTTGAATTTTATGTGTCAAGCATTTTTAATAGGTATGGTTAAAATTCTATAAATTGTTTAAAATATGTTCACTGAAGTTAAATTTCTAGTTGTGAGAAGGGGTATGAATCCAAGAAGTGACCCACTGTCCTAAGGCAATGCCCCCACTCACGACTGTGAGAACATACCCTCCTTAAAGCACCAAGGAGCCACTGTGTCACTGTCTCCTGCTCGTCTCTCACCAACTTATCCCTCATCCCATTAAGAACAGACGATTTGTCCATTCTGTCAATGATGCTTCCTCTTCATACCTCAGGAACTGATTCAGAAGGCCTGGATGGGGTCCTGGTCCCATGCCTTTCTGAGTAAACCACCTACCATATATTCCTTCAATTCATCTTTATGTGGCAACTTTAGCTATTCACAGGATAAACCACAGCATTTTAGCTGTAAAATGATGACCAGGTATTATAGTCACTATCAGGCATTTAAGAGGCTGTCATATTGTTCCCTGTACGTTAAATTAGTTATTACAATGAAACTGGAAATAACCACCAGTTTGAAAGGAGGGTAATTTAAGTTTGTTTAAAGTTGAGCATTGGGGTCGACACTGTGGCATAACAGGTAAAACCGCCATCTTCTCATATGGGAACCTGCTTCTGTCTCAACTGCTCCACTTCCAATCCAGCTCCCTGCTAATGGCTTGGGGAAAACAGTGGAGGATGGCCCAAATGCTTGGACCCTTGCTCCCATGTGGGAGACCTAGAAGAAGCTCCTGGCTTCAGCCTGGCCCAGTCCCAGCCATGGTGGCATCTGAGTGAACCAGTAGATGGAAGATCCCTCTCTCTCTGTCTCTGTCTCTCCCTCTCTCTCTGTAACTCTGACTTTCAAAATAAATAAATAAATCTCTAAAGAAAGGTGTATCGGGGCCAGTGCCATGGCACAGTGGGTTAATCCTCTGTCTGCAGCATCGGCATCCCATATGGGTGCCAGTTCTAGTCCCGGCTGCTCCTCTTCTAGTCCAGCTTTCTGGTTTGGCCTGGGATAGCAGTGGAAGATGGCCCAAGTGCTTGGACCCCTGCAACCACATGGGAGACCAGGAAGAAGCACCTGGCGCCGGCCGTAGCGGCCAGTTGGGGAGTGAACCAATGGAAGGAAGACCTTTCTCTGTCTCTTTCACTGTCTGTAACTCTGTCAAATAAATAAATCAAACAAACAAACAAACAAACAAAAAAAAAAAAACAGAAAGAAAAGAAAGGAGTATAAATTTTTCTTAAAAAGAAAGCTGGTGCTATTTTTAACTGCGCACAGTAGTTTTCAGCAGGAGACAGAAACGTCTAGCACTGCTCCCACCCCACGTGATATCTGGAAATAAGTGAGGAGAGGTTTTGGTGTCACATGGCTTTAGAATGCTACTGGCACTTGATGCCTGATAGCCAAGAATGTGAAATATACTGCAGGGGTGTTCCTGTACAACCACACATCCTGAATACAGGATCAGTCTAGACACATAAAAAAGTATTTCCTGGTGGTCTCTCTGAACCTACCTAGGCCTAAAATTGTAGGTTGAAGAACACAGAATACAATTTGAAAAGAAGAAGAAATAACACTCAGAGAAACTGTGGACTTCTAAATGAAATAAGCATTCATCTCACAATCTTTTTACTCTTTTATAATTAACAGCAAATTATATTTGACATGACTTTATAATCACATATTGCCCATACTTACATAGTATAATTATGAATTAAAGTAGGCTGAAATTTATTATTAGCTTATGTATTTGGTTCCTGTTAAACAGTGATATAATTTATTTATCTAGAATCACTAAAGTTAATCTAAAACAAAAGCAATGAAATTACTTAACATAATTTTGTATACTTTTTCCAAAATCAAAATATACAACATATCAAATTATGTAAACCTTATCAATGCCTTTATTCCTCTGATATCTAGCAAAATAAACATAAATATCAAAACACTGAAAAGTCTACACTGATATATCCAATATTACTACTGTATATTTTTGGCTTACCTCATATGGTAGTTTATCAAAATATCCATTATTTGGCCCTTCCTTGAGGGCAACACTGCTAAATTTTTTGTTAAGATTGTCCATTCCACAACCAGCCTCTTCAGGATAGTCTTCATCCTCTAGATCATTCATGTCAATAAGTGAAGTCTTGAGAGACAGCATTGGCTTGTCCTTCAGACCATGTAGCACAACTGCATCTAATTCAGTGTAATAATCCAGAAGAGAACTATTTACTTCCAGTCGGATAAGATTTGTGGGAAAATTTATCTGCTTAATACAAGGTTTAAACTGGCGAGCCTGGGAAGCATTCACCTTCGTAGGTTTCTCTGACCAAAGAATCTCCCATCTGCCAAAGAAAGAAACTTCCCTATAATACAGTTTAGAATGAGATCTATTGGTTCCTTAAGGTTATGGCCCCATCCCCAATATGTTACAGTGTGAAACAAAGGCATCAAAAAAAGGGAATAGAATCAAATATACATACTGCTTACAGGACATAGGAAATTTTTATAAATAAAACCACGTAGGCCTAGTTACTGAATTTATTGTTATTTTTAACAAGCCCTCCCAAAACCCTGTTTTTTTGTTTGTTTGTTTGTGTGTTTATTTGGTGTGTTGGTTGGTTTTTGCAACTTCACAATGGTCAGTTTAAATACTAGAATAGCTGGTCAGAGAGATCTGAAAAACATCCAGTTTTATAGAATAAGTTAACCTTAAAAAGACAGAACACAAGACAAACGTCTTTTCTGTGTGTGCATCCTAAACCAACTGTAGAACAAAACCCATCATCTTGCCTCATGAAGGTTTCCTTCTCAAGTTTTTCTATGACTGTTACTGGCTTCATACAAACTCAAAACTTCCATATATTCTTTTTAACTTTCTCTTTCATCATATCATTAAGTTTTGCCAGATTTTTCAGGAGACTGTCTCATATCTGACTTCTCCTGAATTTTCATTTTTGTCATCTTTTAGTCATCCTTATGTCCCCAGTACCTAGTAACAGGTGAATAGCACTCTCCCTGTCTCTCCAAATGAACCCCCACTCCCCAGCCAGATTAATCATCATTTTAATCATTAATCATACAATAAACTCAATTCCACTTTTGTGTCTTTGTTCATGTTGTCCTCTCACAATGAAATGGCCAACCTACTAAGACCTGCCCATCTAATTTTTCCAGTCCCAACTCTATGTAAGTGTTCTTATAAAACTGTTTCTCAAGATTAAAGATTCTTTACAATATGGTATCATTATATAGCTAACACTCTCATGTATGTCATAATTACTATTTTTCTAATATTATTTCCTAATAAACAAAAAATTAGAAACAGATAAAAATCCTTCAATAAACGTCTTTCTTCTATTTCTCATAATTTATTCTACTATTGGGATTTTTAAGTAAATATTTTATGTCAAAAGATAAATTTTTACAAACTGCTTTAAAAAATTTATGTCTATAGTATACAAAAAGAAGCACTGAAAACGTCATCTATTTTTCAAATTACCTCCTAATTTCACAGGCAGTCACATCTCCTTATGATGTAATTTATAATTCACTAGTTACTAATAACACTTAAGATGTTTCTGTATGTTCATTCATCATGAGGCTTCCCCTACTCCTTGTCAATAAACTATTGTTTCATTTCTTTGGCCCCTTGACCTACTGAGATCTAAGTAAAAACTGATTAACTATGCCAAGATGCATAGGAAGCTAAAATATGCAAGAGTGTGAAACATGAGGGAGAAATCTGAGCCAAAACTATAGAGGCCATCAATAAACAGACATCCTAATAGTCTGGGGGCCAAGAAGGTAGGTAGCGCTAATTTCAGAAGAATGGAGAAGGAAAGTATGAAACTTTCTACCTTTAGGAACAAAAGCATCAAGGCAAAAAACACAGAGGGGATTCCAGCCAACATATCATCAATGGAATCTGGAACCACAGAACAGGAAACTGTAACAGTAGGAACTTTTACAGTTTCTAGTACTTTTATAATCTCCACATAATTGATGTTTCTACTGATTCTCTCCTGAAAATTAGGAACAAAAGCCACCAAACATAAACAGTTTTTGAGTATTTGCATCCTTGACAGCACAAAAGTAGGAATGGATGGATTGATGTTGGTGGGCAAATGCATGCCTGATTTTGGAACACCTATTTCCAAGAATCATGGAGTAAACTGTAGAATGTATAAAAAAAAATTCAAACCTTGATTTTATTCCTCCTTTTGTTGCTATTGCAAAATGACATTACCAGATGATATTGGAGGAATTCCTCATGCCCAAGAAAAATGGACTACTCAGGATCCTGTGAAATAACTGCCTATGGAGTTCACAACACATGTGGAATAAACCAGCTTATTTTTATTGTTTGGCTTCAAGGAAGAGTTTTGTGATACTTAAGAGAAACCTTGAGAATGTAATACAGAAATCACCTCCACCAGAGACTTTGCAATAAATAAATATGCAGACAATACATGTTCCTCATGTATAATTTGAAATACATTATAATGTAAATTAAATTATAAAATTACAAATATAAGCTTAAAGAAAGGCACTGATTAGAGAATAAATATTCTATTTTAATAATGCATTAATCTACCAAAGACCTCTCCATTTCCTTTGCAGAATATGCAAAAGAGACAAGGTGAAGATGATGCTCTAAACTGACACCCTTAACATTTCTACACGCTTAAACATATCAGGATTAATGGTATTTTAACATCATTTTTGCTCAAGACTTCTATGAAGAATGAACATTACGTATCTAGTCAAACATACATCAGATGATATAAAAATGATAGCATACTTAAAGCAGAAAAAACAGGATCTTAATAGTTTTTAGAAAGATTTTTTGGGGCATTAATAAAAATATTTTCTGTGAATTCTGTAAAAAGTGTTATAAAAATAAAATTTAAGGGTGATTGTTCAAATAAATGAGATTACCAAAGAGATAAACATCATGTGATTGCTAAAATTTACACCACAAAAGGTTACTTTGGATTTATGATTTTTCTATTAATACAGAATTCCATATTAGTGTGTATACTTATAACACCTATCATTTTTACACCTGAAATTCTTTTTTAAATTTATTTTTAATTTTTTTTTAAATTAAGTATGGTTACCTTCTTAGAACTATACCTATGAAATACTGGAATCTCCTCTATTATATTAATCAAAAGGTTTTAAAATGTCTAAATATAAAATATTTTCCAAGGGAATCATTAGTTTATTCACATATTTTAAATTTTTTCTTAAGAAAAAGTACTAAAATATTACGGGTATATGAATACTTAACATTAACTAGGAGACTAACATAAATTGATTTTCTGGTACCTACTTTAAAGTGAATTTTTGTGTCAAATTCCTTTTTAAAATCAGAATGTATCATTTCAAAGTTAGAAAAGTACCTATTATACCCAAGAAGAGACTATACCAGTTTCTTTTATTCCATACAACTAAAGCCAGAATCTTAAAAACTGACCAGTGAAAACAAGCAACTAAATGGAAACATGTGTACCTGACCATGCATTCAGAAACACATCCACACACACTTCTGGAGACAGCCCCAACTCTTTCCATCCTCATCTGGACCCAGGCAGTGACGCTGTGATTGAACTGCTTTAAGTAACAGCCTCTGTATTCTGTACATTTACGCGTTTATTATCATTCTTATCTTCTGGACAAATCTATTTAAGGCTCTGAAGTCTAGGGTACCACGTGTGCCTGGAGTCCTTCTCAGACTATGTTTGAGTCCACCTGTGGAGCATTCAATTCTGGGATGGTAACCAACAGCACTCTCTTCCTAAACCTAACTTAATGATCTTTCAGTTGATGGTCCCGAGTGCTTACTATGTGTCCTGTGCCTGAAAATAATCAACAAATCACTCTCTTCCTCTTTCTGTGATTGTTGACTTGCTGTTCTACCACTGAGAAACTCTCTAGGCAACCAGGAAGCAACAGGAAGACAAGAGAGGAAGAGAAATGTTTCATTAATGGAAACCGGGGGAAACAAATATCTTAACTTGTATTCAGGTTTCAAGCCAGGTACCAAGGTGCAAAAAGCATTCCTGTAAACCAAATTTCTCCTGATTGATAATCAAATCTAGTAGCCAGCACAAAGAAAGTTCCCCTTCCAACCTGCTCAATCTCACTAGCTGAAATTGAAGGGATAGTACAGGAAAACAAATACGAGTACAAGAAACAAGTCTGCCGACAGATGTACCTGCTCCTCCTTATTTCCCAGCCCATCCGAAATCAGATACAAACTGGCAATCTGCTTTTTAAAAAATTAGCCTATGAAGGAGCTGTTCAATTCTGACTTAAAACTCCAAAACTATGTTTCTTGGCCACAACATCAATGACAAATTTGTGTAGTCACTGCCTACCCAACTCCCTTTGGCAGCAAATTTTCTGTGACAGCCTTTCTTATTCCCTGCTTCCTCAAGTTCAATATAGTTAAAGTGCTTTCAACAATCAAAATAAATAAATAAATAAAACCAAAAAAACCACAACAATCAGGTTTTTTTTTTTTTTTTACTATGATCTCAATTTGTCATTTTATCCTCTCTATTCCAAATTGTAACACTGAATTAGCCTATTTTCTAACGCCCACAGAGGCATCCATTAAGATCTTATTTTCAGGATCAGGACACTCCATTATTGCCTTTTTCTACTACACACAAAGCACCAGGCAAGAAGCCAAAAGACTTTGACATCTGGTAGAATTACCTGTATCTTTTCTACTTCATTTACTGAACAAAGAAATGCAAGCTAATGAAACAATAAAAAATAGCTTTTAAATTCTGAATATTGGGGCCAACGTTGTTGAGTAGTGGGTAAAGCCACAGCCTGCGATGCGGCATCAAGCCCTGGCTGCTACACTTCCAACCCAGTTACCTGCAAATGTGCCTGGGAAAGCAGCGGAAGATAGTCCAAGTCCTTGGGTCCCTGCACCCACATGGAAGACCCAGAAGAAGCTCCTGGCTCCTGGCTTTTGGGGAGTGTACCAGCGAAAGATGTATCTCTCTAACTCTGCCTTTCAAATAAATAAAATAAATCTTTAAAATAATTTTGAATACCCTCGTGCAATAGGAAGTTCATTTTCTGAAAACAAATTCTTGAGCTACTCCAACGTACTCTGTATTCCTAACTTCTAAGTGGACATAAACAATAGGCTGGGTAGCCCAGTGGTTCCCAAAGGTGCATGGTGGTCTTCCGTAATTAAACAGGAAAAGGAATGTGTACTGGTTCATAGAAACACATGCACACATATTATGTGTTCCTGCAAAATTCCCAACAGTTCTTTATTCAAGAATCTGATTTTATTAATTTCCTGATATAAACTGGGGTTCTTTTATGAAAAGATAGTGATAAATGATGTTGGTGTTACATTTTCGAAGTGTATGCTTATTTAGCAAAGTAAATAAACTGATAACTCCATTGGAGTTCCTCAGCGTTTATAATCATTATTTTGCTCACTAGTTAACACAGTTTACTCCTCCCACCTGTGTCACTTAGATCTGCAGACCAGTCCTCCAAATGGGCTTGCCTGGCTCCTAAAGGCTTATGTCTGCAACCTTCTATACAGAACTACCTTGGGCTCCCTGAGCCCTTCTACCCAAACACTGGCATGTGCCTGGAAGATATTTTCAGTCCCCTTTCTAACTCCTCCAGCCAACAGCCAAAGATGGGTTTAGGAGTAGAAGAGCCCAGCTCCCTAGCAACTGCTTCCCAGCAGACTGGGAATTTACAAGAAATTTCATCTCTGCATAGCTTCTTTACCTTCCCTACCATGCTTTCTCACTCCCTTACCGCTTTCTCCTAGAGCACTTCCGCTTATATGAACTCTGGGAAATTAGATCCCTGACATCTAGGAAATCTCAAAGTCTAAAAACACTAGTTAGTTTAGAACTCAGGAATGTCACTGACATGCTTGCAGCCCTCAAATAACTTGTTCTCTACCCTCTTGGACTTCTCCCATTCCTTCAGATAGCATTCTCTCACCTCAGCATCTCATCTCCACATATGCGGTCCTCACACCACCTGCCTTTCCACTCACTCAACTCTCGGGTCTTGGCTGGGTCACTTCCTCAGGTCTTATTCCACAGATACATGCGTGTACAGTGAAGCAACTTACGATAAGGTTACTCCATGCATTCATGTTTATAAAAGCAAAAGACTGGAAACAACGAAGTTCTCATTAATGGGGAACTGGCTAATAAGTTGGGGTACATACAAACCAGGTTGTAGGAAAGAAGGCAGATGCTCTCCTTGGGATTATAAGAAAAAATCCAATATATACTATGAAGTGAAATAAACCAGCAAGGTGCAGAAAAATGTGAAAGTTATGGTCACTTTTGAGTATGAAGTAAATAAAATGAATGCCTGTATTATATTTATTTGCATCTGCATAGACACTCTAAAACTCTACAAAGGAAGTTGATTAACAAAGGGGAAAGGATGAGATGTAGGCACATGGAGATTAGGGTACATGCAATACACCATTTTGATCTTTTTAGATTACTAACCTATGTGATTATATCACCTAATCAAATCATTATATGTTTAAAAGTCAGGAGGCCAAACTACAAAAGCAAGAGAGAGGAGTTTTTAAGCAAATTAATGATGTAAATCAGCCTATAGGGAGATGCAGGAACAACTTAAATCATCATTTACTTTTCAGTGAATATACTTTATACAAAAACACCCACCTAACATATCCCCTAAAGATGTCCCCTAAAGTTTTAGTCTGCAAGCCTATTTTGAGTTGTTCTAAGTATATACGAGCAATAACATAATGCCTCCATGAAAATATTTTAAAAGTCCTATTTCCTACTAACTTCTCAGTTTAGCCCATGTCCTTATTAGTTCAAATTGTGCTTTTAATTTATGCTAAATTATGTGACAAATACCACAATCTATGAATAATGATAGGATGAGGTGTCACAAATTTAAAGCATGCATTACATGTACACATGTGTGATTTCTCCTCAGAAAATGAAGGAATATTTTCAAATAAAATTTGTTTAAATTATCTGAAAGAATGCTTCCAATTAAAAAAGAAAAAAGAAAAACCTGCAGTAGTACAACAACCAAAACTTTATGGCCATTTAACTTAGTCCACTAAAAAATGAATCTTACCTTACTTCAGCTGGTGGACTTGGGGAATAGGGATTTGCAGAACAAGCCAGAATTCTAATGACTGCTCCAGGATGATAGGTTTCCAGAACATGAACAGCCGTAGGATACACCTGCTGTTCAAAAGTTAGTTCCACATAGTCCTGGCTCTGAAAATTAGGTGGTGTCCTCTTGAATGGCAAGGAAGCACTGGGACACTGGTCCCACCAAGTTCCGTATGTTCGAAACACAGCTGTCTGAGTAAAGTCACCAGAACTTGGGAATACATTTGGAACGCCTGCCAAATTCCACATGGTATAGGACATACTATTCTCACTTCCATAATGGGAACTGAAGTCCACTACTTCTTTGGCATATTGGACCACCTCTGCGTTGAGAGGTGAAGTCCGGCTGTTTGATGCTATAGTTCTATGGCTGTTCATCATTTCCCCTCTTGTAGCTGTCCTGGCTCGGCGCCGAAGGCATAGATAATAAAACATAGTCAGAACTGTTAACATGGGAAAGACTGGTGACATCAAAGATGTGAATTATGAAGCTTCAAAAGGTCAGGTGTCCTCTGTAAGACGCATGAACTCTTTGAAGGATGTTCTAAAAAATGAATGGCTTGGTGAAGTGAAATAATTTAAATAAGCAGAAAATGCTTGGATAAGATAACAAACAGCTTTACCCCAAATGTAATATTCCAGAAAGAAAAAAATACATTTTAAATTGTAAATGTAAACCTCTAGTATAAACAATCTGCTTAACATTATTTTAAATAATCTAAGTATTATAAATGTATAGAATTTTATGCTTTATGAAAAACAAAACTGATACAAGGCAATGAAAAATGTATGATCCAAAAAACCCATTTTTATACATTATAGCCATCACTCCAGAAACAATAAGTCCTTGAAATTTTTAAATTATTTAAAACGTATGTTGAATCATGGATTATCTAAGATAAATCCCAAAAAAACACAGGCATTGTTGTAATTTCATTTTTTAACATGATTCCCTATTGTCAATTACAACACTCTTCCAAACACGTTAAGTGCAGATTTCACATTATGGGAATATAGTTTTTTTGGAGCTGACAGATAATCCAGACCACGTAAATTAACTGCCTAACATATCACAGATCACCAGACAGTGTTTAATTTATAACCCTTAGCATTATTTGTCAGGGAAGTCCATGGATGCCTGGCGTCTGGTTTGTTGCCAGCTTCTCTTAGAAATCACTCACCCCAGAGAGAATGGTCACAGGACGCACTTGGGAAATGCAAAAGTTGGCAACCATCCATGTGGCCTGAAATCTACAGGCCGATTTCAGGTGAAAATGCTGAAGCATAACATCCTTTTACCTGTAACAGAACAGTTTTGGAAAAATACTTTTTATTTCTAATTCCAGAAGTTGAACTGCTCCCAAAAGATTATTATTATTATAGGCTAAAAGCCACTTATTAGACACAAAACTTTAAAATTAAGGTTAAATTTGTCTACATTTTGTGCATATTTGAAAAATATTCTAAAAATTTTATGAGTGCAATAAAAATATATTGAGTCTTATCTACAGAGAAATCACAAACCCCTAATTTTCATTTCAAACCATTCCTGTAGACACATTTTACTGTAGCTGAACAGTGTTGTTTTTAAAAAAATTGGTTTATTTTCTAACAATCGAGAGTCCAGCACTCTCTAGATGGCCACCTTTGTTGCCAGTCACTGACAACATAGGTCCAGCCCCTTGGTCTCAGGGATGTAAGCTCTTGGCTGTTCAAAGACAGGTTCTTGTCTGTACATTCAGAAGAAACTTCCTAAAGCCAAAACTTGGACGGGATCACCTAATCTACAAAAGCTTGAGTATTGGGCCGGCGCTATGGCTCAATAGGCTAATCCTCCACCTAGCGGCGCCGGCACACCGGGTTCTAGTCCCGGTCGGGGCGCCGGATTCTGTCCCGGTTGCCCCTCTTCCAGGCCAGCTCTCTGCTGTGGCCAGGGAGTGCAGTGGAGGATGGCCCAGGTGCTTGGGCCCTGCACCCCATGGGAGACCAGGAAAAGCACCTGGCTCCTGCCATCGGGTCAGCGCGGTGCACTGGCCGCAGCGCGCCAGCCATGGTGGCCACTGGAGGGTGAACCAACGGCAAAAAGGAAGACCTTCCTTTCTCTCTGTCTCTCTCTCTCACTATCCACTCTGCCTGTCAAAAAAAAAAAAAAAAAAAAAAAAAAAAAAAAAAAAAAAAAAAAAAAAAAAAACAAACAAACAAAAAAAAGCTTGAGTATTAAAACATAGAGCAGAGGCCAGGAAACCCAAGTAGGTATGACATTAACTGAGGCAATGTGGAAAAATCAGAAAAAATCTCAAAGAATATACCATGCATGGAGTATAGACCAACCTCCATAGATGAAATCCCACTCCATTCCCAGGCTAAAATAGAAAAACAAGAAAAAGCAGTCCCAAACTGGTCAGACTTCATCATCTGGCAGGTGTAAATCTGCAACCTCTTTGTGGGACATTTTCACACTGAAAAGACTAAACCCTCACTAAAGATGTATCGGCTCACAATAGAAAATGAACCGCAATGAAGGACAGTCAGCAGATTCAGCCAAGGGGGGAAACCCCAAGAGCAAGAAGGACTTTAACAACTGGAACAAGACTTTTTCTGGAGAAAGATAACAAGGCATTTATTAAAATAAATAGTTTCTGTGGCTCTCTTCTGTTCTATAGTATTTCTAGGATGTATCATGAGTCAATGAATCAGATTCACCTCAGGACAAAAACAGCAGATGATGAAATACAGGCCATACAATAAAACGTATGTGTGTGTGGGAAATAACCACCTAGCCATATTACTTCTTTATTAAAACATTTCATGCAGGACAAGTGTAAATCTGTCAAAAAGAATCTTACACCTACAGAAATCTGAAATCCTTAATATATACTATGAAATTCATGCATAGTTACTTTGTTAGTATACATTTTCTATGAATTTTTTAATATATTCACATGTATTCATATCCATTTTTTGGATCAAAATAAATTTGTCTTTTCACTCCACTTTCCATGAACTGCTTTAAAAAATACAAGTTTTTTTTTTAAAGTTTCTTTTATTTATTTGGAAAGTCACAGTTACAGAAAGAGATGGAGACACAGAGATCTTCCATCTGCTGGCTCACTCCTCAGATGGCCACAGTGGCCAGTGCTGGACCAGTCTCCCACATGATGGCAAGGGGTCCAAGCACTTGGGCCATCATCCGCGGCTTTTCCCAGGCCATTAGCAGGGAGCTGGACTGAAAGTAGAGCAGCTGGGACTTGAACTGGTGCCCATATGGGTTGCCAGCATCGCAGGCAGCAGCTTTACCCGCTAAGCCACAACACTGCCTTCTCACCTCCAACGAACTTTTTAAAAATATCCCCACACTATCTTTGGACATTACTTCTCACTACAGTCTATAAATTGCTTTAAATAAGCTCCTTCTACTTGCTTTACAAAACTGCTTATCAGAAGTTAAAACAGTTTTATAAAATCAAAGAAATATCTGCAAAATAAAATATCATCATTCACATGAACTTATGCAATAATTCTTAGCAAGATGAAGACGGAAAGTCAAATTTTGTTTGCCATATCAAGCCACAGATTTTACAACTGTTTCCCAGCTAGCTTTACCACTGCAGATCACATGACAATATCAAAACTAGTAAGAATGTCATATGGACAATATCATTTTTAAGCAACTTTGCACTCACACAACATATGTAAAAAGTGGGTTATAAACTGAAAATACATGTACTATATGCTCAAACTTTTTAGTATAGAAAAGTAAAATGAATGCTTTGTTTCCAACTATGGATAATCTTTAGAGATTTTTGGAAAATAAAGCTAAAAATGACAAAAGAAATTTCTGAAAGATGGAAAAATAATATATGGCACACTGAAAAGGAAAATACATTTTTTTTTCAGCAAAGTTATTCTGAAAATGTTACAGAAGTTAAAACTTGTTTTCAAAAATAAACAAAGAATGCAAATAAAAATACAATTTGCAAACCCATTGCTAACACTCTTCATTAATTTTGAACTCCATTCTAATCTAGTAAGACGACACATAACAGTGTTATAGGAGTAGGGAACAATAGATGAAGAAGAAAAGATATCTCCCACTACCTCTCCTTGAGAAATGAAGCTGCAAAAGGAAAGAAAACCATTGTCTGAGGACTCATGTGGGTAGCAAAGACCAGCACAGAAGTCCAGCTTTTCCATGTACTGTCTGGACTTTTGCCAAGGCATACAGACAATCTGCAATAACCGATGCATATCCCAATGGGCAATGACCAAGTATGAAAGATACAATAACTCTATTTTATGAGGAAAATGGGACGCAAAAACAGGTGATTTTTTTCCCAACTGGGGCAAATAAATAAATATTGGTCTGAAACACTAAATTTGTCCAAAAAAGTGATTACAAAATATACATGTTGAAGACATTTTCTTTTCTAGTTCATCCAAAAAGTGACTTTAATTGTAAAGGCTCACAACATATAACACATTATTTTTCATTTATCGAGAAGTTTAACAAGGAGACAGAATTACAAATAGGGTCAGCTTCATTTGTTGTTTAATCAAATCACTTATCAACTATGATTATGAAGTGAGAAATTCTCTACAACGCACTGAATTTTTATACTAGTACAATCAAGAATACAAAACAGCAGCCACTTTAACTTGTATTTTGAGACTTCCATATTCCTTGGGAAACAACTTGCTTTATACAACATGATTTTATTATAATACAACTTTATTTTCAACAGCATTTTCCATATTATAAAATGCTTAACGAAGTTAAATAATACAATTACAGGGAAAGCATTAACAGTGGAAAGGAGAAATTAAGAGGTATAGACAAGAGAGAACATATGTTTACTACTGAGATTTGAAGTGAGATGGGGAGTCGATGAGGCGGAGAGAAACAGGATGGCAGGAACTGCAGAGAAAAGCCTGTGTTTCGGCAGAGAGAAAAAAAAGAAGGAAAAGGATTCTTCATAAGCAAACAAAAAAAGACAATTAGAATGAACTACAGCCAGGTAACACAACTAAGTTTACAGTGTGATGAAAGAACTTGGAAAAGAAGCTTAAAACTCAAAAGAGGATTCTCAACTTACATCAAAGTGGAAAGACATGGAAAAAGACAAACATGACAGGTAAGGCCTAGGCGCTTACTGAGGCAAGCCACAGCACAACACTTACTTGTGAAACAGCCCACAGGGACATGTCGATGAAGTGACAGAAAAAAATAAAAGAGCATTTAGACAGCTTTGTGGCATAGAACCAAAAATGCAACAGAATGCATCATGTGGTCATAAATCAAGGAAGCAGCCCAAACCTTAAATGTTTACCATTTCTGAACCCTGAGGAAACTGACCAAGAGATACTTTTTTGAGGAAATGACTTCTGGTTGGATCTACAAATCAAAAAATTAAAGATAAGAAAGAAAATATCAACCAAGAAAAGAATGGAACTATATTTTAATTTGATACACATCCAACACTCATCATCAGTCCTCTTTCTGGGACTGCCCCTCTAGGCTTCTGTGCCAACACTCGCTGCTTTATCCTCTTTGCCTCTCTGATAACTTCTCCCCCTCCTCATTCTTCTACAGATATATCCAGGTACCATAAAAGTAAGACTGCCTCTTTTACACCAAGTCATACAAGAACATTCCACCTGCCTTGAGACCTGTCTTCCCCTCCTCCCTTTCATGTCCACACATCCACCATCCTTGCTGTGGATCCACCAGAACACTCACCATGCCCTCAACAGCACATGTACTTTCACGCCTCAGCCTTCTCGAGTCTTCCACCAAGGCTGGGTAGTTTCGGAATGGCCTCTCTCTTCCTCTGCTTGGCACCTTTTTACATTCAGGGTCCAGTGCTGACTACCCACCACAAGTCTTTCCTTTCTTTTATACAGTATATATTATTTGTTATTTCTTATATCCTGAGATATTTCTCTCTCCCAACAGACCACAAATTTCTCAAGTTCAAAGAGCATGTCTTTTAAAAATAATACCCATAGGGTCTACCACAAGCCAATATATGCTCATAAATATTTGTTGTTTCATGGATGACAGCAGAGTAGATGGCATGAGAGAATTAAACAAGTTGAAAAATAAACAGAAAAGAAACCAGGAGCTCTTCAATCCAAGCATTATGTAAATAACAAAATGAAACAAAAAATTCCATATCTTGATATAGAGAAAAAGAGGAGGAAATGGATACTAAAAAATGAAACACAATAGGTAAGACTCAAAGGTATGAACTTCTTTGAAGCTATCCAAGAAGGAATATTATACATATTGAAATTTTACT